GATAATGAGAAGTGGTCCTTACAAACAAATCAAAATTATGATCCCTAGAGTGGAAGTTAAGATATGTAATCATAGTTGTAAAATTCTTAAATTTAGCCTTTATATCTTGTTTGTGACCATATAAAGACTTATTCAACTTACTCACTTCCTCCTAATTATGAGTAACACCTAGTGGAGGTACCATATAAACGTTCTCTTGAAGATCACCATTTATAAAGATATTTTAAATATATTTTGGAGAAATATGCCATTGAAAAACAAATGAGACGACAATAAGGGTGTGAAAGTAGTCATCGTGTGCACTAGAGAAAAGGTTTTGTTATAATCCATACTATATTATTGAGAGAAGTTTTAGGAACAAGACGTGTTTTGTATCACTCAACTTATCTATCAAACTTAGTTTTGATTTTTTATACTCAATAACCCCAATAATATATTTTCCAACAAGAAGATATACTGAATCCCAAGCATATGTTTTATGTAAAGTAGAAAATTCTTTTGCCATAGCCTGTTGGCAATAAGGGTCAAGTATAGTCTCTTTAGAAAATGGATCAAACAACCTGTGAACAGAAGTTAGAAAAGAAGAAAAAGAAGTAAAGTAAATGAAATAGACAAAATAAGGCAATTTAATAGGCTTAAAACCTCAATGGAGATAACAAGAAGGAAAATGAGAGCAGGAGAAGATGATCAACAATCACAAAAAGTTCTAAGCCTGCAATTTTCAAAATTATAATCACTATAATTTTGAAAATAAGGCAATTTAATAGACTTAAAACCTCAATGGAAACAAGATTGTGTTTAAGAAAAATAACATTAAAAAAACAATAAATTTTATTCCATGAGGATCACATTAATAACAACCCTTTTCACCATACCCATAATCAAGGAACACACATATGAGAAAATGAAAAGATAACTTATCACATTCAGCTTATGGACAAAGAACAAATAAAATATAACCAAAGACTTCCAAAAAAGAAGAATCAAAGATATAATCATACAATTTTTCAAAATGAGACAAATTTGGTGTGACATGCAATGAGATTATGTTAATATCTTGAAAAACATTAAGAACCATTTAACCCCATGATTCAACAGGAACTATGTTATGTTGAGGAGTATTACTAAACGATGTATGGTGAATACTACCATCACAAGCAAATAATCCCTATAATATATTAGATATATATTCACCATGTAAATCACAATAGAAGCACTTTATTATAACATTATTTTGAGTCTTAATCATAGCATGAAACATATGATAAATATAAAAAAAATTAAAAATTATTTTTTCTTTTCATACGGTAAACCTAACAATAATGAATATATCCATAAATAAATGAGACATAATATTTAAATCCACCTTTAGTAAGAACGAGTGTGAAATCAATACATCAAAGTGAATTAAGTAAAATTGTGCATATGAAATTGAAACACTTTTAATAAAAGGTAAACTTGAAAATTTAGTAAGTTTAAAAACACAACAATATGAAATATAATTGATATGCAACTTTTTAATGCTTTAGTAGAAGTCAAATATTTTAATTTAGAAGAAGAAACACGTCCAAAACAAAAATGTCATAAATAAAAACTAGAAGATGAAGAATTCAAACAAAAAGAAGATAATAAATAAGCAGCAGAAGTAAAAGGTGACTTGCCTCAATCAAGCTCTAGGAATGTAGATCCTACAGATAATATAAAGTAGAAGAAAACACAACCGAATAACTAGAATATGATTAACTTATAGAAATAAGACTAAAATTGAGGTTAATTTACACTTTGAAAACTTCTAATTCGACTGATTCTATAAGAGCTAATTTGATCCTATAAATTATTCATGGCCAAATAAAGTTGTTGAATGATCATGTTTTAAAATCTCTAATCTTTAGTTGATACTATTTTGTCAAATTATATTGACTATACAAATATTTTTAATGGTATCAAAACTTCTTAAAAAAAATATATTTTGTTAATTACATATTTATTGACCGAAAAACATAATTATTGTTCAAAGTAATGATCTTTAAATTAATAACATTTTATATTTCTAACTCTTTTACATATTTTAATTCATCTTTTCTGTATGTGAGCTTAAAAGAGACTCCATCAATATAAATCTACAAATTTTCTTTCCTTTCAAAAGAAATTCTCATTACATAACTTCAATAAAAATAATTTTCTTCGTTGAATTAAATATTAAGAAATTTAAAACATTTGTGTCAATGTAAGCATTTTATTTCTCTAAAGAAAAATAGTTGTTTACCTCTAAAAAAAGTTAAGAGATAAGATGGTTATGGATATTCTTTTACTTTTTAATATGTCATTATTGATGATTAAAATATTAATCTCATTACACTATGTAAAGGTGAGAGAATCAGAAGTCAACGGTAGAAGAGAAAAAAACATTGTCTACATTAAAAAGTGCAGGTACCTTTAGTTTTCTTCATTAATTTTTAATCTTAATTAAAAAATTGTCCATGATATACCGGACTTGAATCGTCTCCAACAATATTATTCTCTCTCTCTCATCATTAAAAAACATAAAATAATCAAGAGAGAATGAGATGGAGAGAGAAGGAGAAAATATTGATGAAGAGATCCAAAGTGCAATATACTAGTAGTTTTCACATGAATAAATTTTGTCCTAAGATTTATTTAAACAATGCATGCAGATTCTTAGAAGAAACAAATTGTGTTGGAATGTGTACTAATTTGTGCAAAATCCCATCTCAAGTATTCATAAAAGACTCCTTTGGTATGCCAGTGAACATGGTCCCAAGTACGTACTATTCCCACAAATATTTTACTAGTAAACAAATACTCCAATTAATTTTTGAAAGATACATTAAATAATATATGTAAAAACATACATCATCTTAGTTCTAAAATTGAAGATTATTTTACAGATTTTGATGATATGAGTTGTGAGATGATATTTGGCCAGGAACCACCATCATCAACTGATGATCCCGCACTCAAGCAACCCTGCTATAAACTATGTAATAATATACTTATTTTGAGAATATTACTTACTTTTATTTTGAGAATAATGTAACTAACATAACATTTTCACATATAATGTAGGCAAGGCAAAGAAAAGCCATGGAACGAATTGTATCAACTAATGTAGCATGTATGGAGATAGCAACTACAAAAAACATCAAATTCTACAATAATCACTAAGAGCTAAATGAATCTACGTTGTTTCAATATGGACAAATTATCTCGTTCATCTACAATGAATTTCATTTGTATTTTTTTAATAAAGTAACAATTTAATCCTTAGACTATCATTTTGCCTAATTTAATCTTAAAGTATATAAAAATTATAAATAGTTTCTATGAGTATGTAAGTTCATCATTTTAATCATGTTAAATTCACTTATAGCACAATTTCACTACAATTTCGCTAACTTTATTATTCACTTTGCAACTGTAAAATACTGTGAATGACTTGTTTGACTTGCTTACAAAAATAGGGGTTACTCCATCTATTTATAACTGAGCTTACACCATAAACTCAAAGCCCAAAATATCTATTTTGTTACTAAATCAAATATAATCTATTCCAGACTTAAATCAAATCTATTTAAATCTAAAACAAATCAAATCTTTTCGACACATAGTTTCGACATACTGAATTACAATTTAACACACCACCTAATTCATTGTGTCTAAACTATCTATGTTCATCATGACTCTTAACTTTCTGAATACTTTGACTTGCACTCCCGTCTTGATGTCTGCAATCTGATTCTCAGTTCTGCAGTGTTCCAAATTCATCTTCCCATCTGCTACCTGCTCTCGAAGATAATGGAACCTCATTTCGATGTGTTCACTTCGATCATGTGCTATTGGGTTCTTTGCCAGATTAATAGCTGACATGCTGTCGATCTTCATGGTAATTGCTCCATGATCTTTTTCTGTTATCTCTTCGACCAAGTTCACCATCCAAGTTGCTTGACATGCACAAAGAGAAGCAACTATGTATTCTATTTCGCATGATGATAATGCCACTACTGGTTTCTTTCTTGAATTCCAAGCAACTGGTGCACCACCTAGCATAAACACATATCCTGCTGTTGACTTTCGATCTTCAGCATCACTACACCAACTTGAATCAGTGTATCCCACTAACTTGCATTCTTTTCCTTTATCAGCTGCAGGAAACAAAATGCCATAATCGAAAGTTCCTTTGAGATACCTCAGTATCCTTTTTACTGCTGCTAGATGTGATATCTTTGCCTTCTGCATGAATCTACTTACCATACCTATACTGTATGCTAAGTCAGGCCTTGTATGACAAAGATATCTCAATGATCCAATAAGTTTTCTGTATTGGGTTGGATCAACATCATCTTCATCTGCATCTTTCGACAATTGCAGTCTTGGTTCTGCAGGTGTCGAAGTTGAGTTACATTCTTTCATATCAAACCTCTTGAGAATTTCTCCTGCATATCTTCTTTGATGCATCATCAAACCTCTACTGCTCTTGTAGAATTCAATACCAAGGAAATATGAAATCTCACCCAAATTAGACATTTCGAATTCCTTGCTGAGATCATCTTTGAAGTCTTTGATCTCACTTTTGCAGCTACCTGTTATCAACAAATCATCTACATATAGACATAGTATAAGCAATTCACTCTTGCTTCTTCTTACATATACTCCATATTCAGTTGTGCACTTCACAAATTCCTCCTCCCTTAGGAAACTATCATTTTTCTTATTCCAAACTCTTGGAACTTGTTTCAATCCATACAGGGCTTTATGCAGCCTGTACACCTTTCTTTCTTCGTCATGTTTCACAAATCCAACTGGTTGTTTAACATAGACTTCTTCGTCTAAGAGTCCATTTAGGAATGTACACTTCACGTCCATCTGACGTATGTGCCAACTATTTATTTCTTTTAGACCAACAACTAACCTGATTGTTTCAATCCTAGCAACAGGTGCAAAAACTTCATCGAAGTCTATTCCTTCTTTCTGTAGAAATCCTTTCACCACAGGCATTGCTTTCTGTCGAGTTAATTCCCATTTCGAATTCGTTTTCACTTTGTATACCCACTTGACATCAATTTCATTCTTGTCTTGATGCAATTCGACAAGTGACCAAGTGTTATTGTCTTCAATAGACTTCACTTCTTCGTTCATTGCTTTCACCCACTTCAAATCCTTCAATGCTTCAGTTGCATTAACAGGTTCGACATCTTCATAGAAAGCATAATGTACCAACTCATCTTCATTATCTATTACATCATCTGATGTAATCACACAATCTTGCAATCTTGCAGGCATGTGTCTTGTTCTTTGAGGTCTGCTTGTACTTGGTATATTTGCTGGTTCCTCTTGTCGAACTTCTCTTTCGACTTGAGTTTTTGGATCTTCAAGTAGGATTCCCACTGAATCTTTCTTGACATTTTCAGTACAATCCCATTCTTTAAACTCATCTATGATCACGTCCCTGCTGATCACAATCTGCTTTTTCACTGGATCGAACAACTTGTAGCCTCCTGTCGAATGATATCCAACTAGAATCATCTGACTTGACTTGTCATCAAGTTTTCTTCTCAACTGATCTGGCACATGTCTATGTGCAATAGATCCAAATACCTTCAGATGGCTCAATCTAGGCTTCACACCAGACCAACATTCTTCTGGAGTAATTCCTTCTAGCTTCTTTGTAGGACAACTGTTTAAAATGTATGTTGCAGTCAAAATAGATTCACCCCAAAACTCTTTAGGTAAATTCTTGCCTTTCAACATACTTCGTACCATATTCATGATAGTTCGATTCTTCCTTTCTACAATTCCATTTTGTTGTGGAGTATAGGGTGACACCACCTCATGCATAATCCCTTCCTTTTCACATAGCCTGTCGAAGTATTTTGACACATATTCTCCACCACCACCAGTTCTCAAAACTTTGAGCTTTCGACCGCTTTGTCTTTCGACCATAGACTTAAACTTGGCAAATACTTCGATCACTTCACTTTTCTTCTTGATCAGGTAAGTCCACAACTTCCGACTGAAATCATCTATGATAGTAACAAAGTATTTGTTACCTCCCATTGAATCCACCTGGATTGGTCCACATACATCAGACCATATGACTTCAATAATAGCCTTTGATCTGCTTCCGACATCCTTGCTGAAGCTATTCTTGTGCTGCTTCGCCTGCACACATTCCTCACATACTTCATTTGGAATGTCAATTTCAGTCAATCCTGAAACCATGTTTTTTCTCTTCAAGTCTCTGATGTCTCTGAAGTTGAGATGACCTAGTCTATAATGCCATATCCATTCATCTCTTCTAGCTGCAGTCGAAAGGCACTTGTGTTCCATCAGATTTAGTTCAATCTTGAAGGTTCGATTCTGAGGCATAGGAGCCTTCAAGATTAATCTCCCATTTGCATTAACGACTCTCATCATCTAATCTTCGATTGACACTTTATAATTCTTTTCGACCAACTGCCCTATACTGAACAAATTGCTCTTCATGCCTGGTATGTACAATACATGTGAAATTATTGACCTCTTTCCATCTTTCCTCATAATCATAACATCACCAATACCTTCAGCTGCTAGGGTATTGTCATTTGCAAATTTTACCATATTTTTCATTGAGGGCTTTATATTGACAAACCAGTCTTTCCTTCCAGACATATGTGATTAACATCCTGAATCCAAGTACCATTGGTCCTTGAATCTATCTTCATCTCTTATTGTGACCATCAGCATCATCTTTTTTTTTCATGTTTTGCAAGCTTTGCATCACTTTCTTGATTCTTTCATTTTTCTGGACAATCACTCGCATAGTGTCCATACTTCTAACAATTGTAACATTGAATGTGACTCTTATCAGGTTTTCGACCACCACCTCTTCCTCTATTTGCAACACCACCTCTTTGGTTGCCTTGGTATGGTCTTCTTTGATTCGACATGTTTCCTTCGATCTGGTTTCCTCTACCATTCAATTTGTTGTAGCCACCTCTACCTCTGTTGAAACATTTTCCTTTGCCTTTGGTTTCTTTTACAGAATATGCTTGCAAGGCCACATCACTCTTCGATTTTCCTGCAGCTCTTTCATTCATTATTTGTTCATGATATTCAAGTGTCCCTTGAAGCTATTCCTTTGTCAATTTCGAAAAGTCTTTCCCATCTTCTATCGCCACCACTATGTGGTCGAACTTAGGAGCTAAAGATCTCAAGATCTTTGAAACAACAACTCTTGTTGTTAACGTTTCTCCACATATCTTGATCTGATTTACTAGTTTTGTAACTCTAGTGAAGAAATCAGATATGCTTTCACTGTCTTCCATATGAAGTAGTTCATACGTCATTTTGTGAGTTTGTAACCTCACTTCTTTCACTTTTGCAGCGCCTCCAAAAGAATTCTCAAGGATCTCCCAAGCTTCTTTTGCAGATTCTGAATCACTAACCTTTTCGAAGTTGTCTAGGCTGACACATTGATGAATTATAAATAATGCTTTATAACTCAGCTTCTCAGATTCTGTGTATTTCTTCTTTTTTTCATCTGAAGCGTTTTTTCCAAGCCCTTCGACTCCATCTTTTACAAGATCCTAAAGACCTTGACACCTGAATAAGACTTTCATATGTTTGCACCAATTCTCATAGTTGTCAACTTTCAGAATTGGTAGCGTTGTTGGATAGTTTGCATTCCCATAACTTGTCATCGTGAATTCTTCAACTGTTCTTGATTGACACTTCCCTTGAATCGAAACAAAAGCTCTGATACTAGATGTTGGAAATCCACCAAAGTCTGTGATGAATTTTTACCATAATGACAATTTAATTACGAGACAAACAAAGAAAAGAAGACAAGACAAATAATTTCTGCAAAGTTTCTCTCTGCTCACAAATTGTGAAAACTTTATTATTCACTTTGCAACTTCAAAATACTGTGAATGACTTGCTTGTCTTTCTTAATAAAATAGGGGTTACTCCCTCTATTTATAACTGAGCTTACACCCTAAACCCAAAGCCCAAAATATCTATTTTGTTACTAAATCAAATATAATCTATTCTAGACTTAAATCAAATCTATTTAAATCTAAAACAAATCTAATCTTTTCGACACATAGTTCGACACACTGAATTACAA